GATACAATGGGATGGTTACCTTTAACTAATTTACCAAATAAGGTGTACCCCCGTCTTGTACGATTATTTTATGTTCACTTGACAGCTGGTGACCAAAAAAATACATTTTTCTTTCACTATTGCAGTCATCATGCCAAGAGCAAAACGAACCAGACCCGAACGTGGTGAATCCTCAAACCCTGTACAACATCAACCACAGCAACAACATCATGACAATCCAAATAATGATTTTTTAACGTATCATCATGAACAAGCCTATTCACATTTTATTAATCGACCAATTGTTACGGGGAGAAATGTGAGACTACCTTCTCAATATTATCCGCTCTTAGTTGGTAAATTAGATACAATGAGATGGTTACCTTTAACTAATTTACCAAATAAGGTGTACCCCCGTCTTGTACGATTATTTTATGTTCGCTTGACAGCTGGTGACCAAAAAAATGAACCGTTCAGTCTGACCTCCTATGTAAAGGGGAAAATAATCACACTCAGTCTCCTTGCTTTCGCACAAATTATTGGAGTTGAAACAGGAGATTTACAATGTTATTTTCAAAATGAGTCTTCCTTAGAAAAAATGTTTGGTGATGTCACTCAGATTTATACCACAATTTGTAACAACCGATTCAGCAGCACTAATTTACTAGCCAGACATTTAAAACCCCACCTTCGTATTCTTCATCGATGGATAGTTGAAAATGTCACTCCAAAAAAAGGCCATTATGATATTGTTTCATGTTTTAATGTTTATTTATTATATTGTTTTGAAACTGGACAAAAATTAGATTTATACTTCATATTACTCAAAGAAATGATGATTGCAAAACTCGATACTCTGTCTGGCCGGTCACTACCTTTTGGAGCTTTGTTAACCATAATTTTCAATGCGCATGATGTCAACCTTGAAGGGGAAGGATATGTCAGAATCATTTCACCAATTTCTGAGTACATACTGACCCGAGGTGGTGGTGCTGGCACCTTGATGGGCTCTATTAATATTGAAAATGAACCAATACTCGATAACGAAGAACCCAATGACAATGCCATGCCACCAAATGAACAACCCCATTACTGGACTGATTATTTAGCCTTGGAACAAAAACGGTACAATCAGCGCCTACAATGGGAACAACAAATGGCTAATCAGCTCAATACATTAGGTACTCGGTTCGATGAATTTGTCGCCGCTCAGAACTCACTAATTCAACAATTTAGTGAGTTTCGTGTAGACTTAGGGAGACATGATGAAGTGACAAGGAACCGCATTGATCAGATTGACCATCGAGTCACTCAGCTGTATCATCACTATTACCCTCCACCTCCAACACTACCTGATAATGATGCTTAACTTGTTCAAAAATCAGTTTAAATGGTGAAACAGATGTAGTGGTTACATGTTTTTTTTTTTGGTTATTTGTTTTCTTATTTTGTTGTGCTTGTTTTATTTTGTTAATTTGTTTTAAACTTCTGTATTCACGTCATTAATAACAAATACTGTTTTTTTTTTAAGCATTCTAAAACAAGTTACAATGTTATAGCAATATGTACGAAAAGATTTTGCATTGGAAAAATTATTTGTACAAAAATTAATAAATAGAACTTAATATGCCTAACAAATCCTTCATTTCAATAAAATGAATAAAAATTAAACAATTAAAAAAAATTGTCTGTATCAATTAATACAAAAAATTAAATTAATGTTCTAAAATGAAATAAAACAAGGTAGAAATTAATAATAAACATTCTTTTTTTTTAATGAAAAGGAAAAAAAAAAAGTTAATATGAACAAAAATTAAAAAAATAAGGTGTAAAAAGAAAAAAAAAATTAAATTGATAAACCGAATTAATAACAAAACCTTCAAATTGTTTACAATTTAACAAAAAAGTCAAAAACACGGATATGTCATGTACAAATATTTTTTCACAAAATTTAAAATAGTAAATTGTAATTATTTTATTAATTTAAGTCATTATGACACCTTTATTACATTACTTCACCCACCACCCAAGACCCACCACCACCCACCTGCCATCCACCACCCACCACCCACCCACCACCCACCTATCACCACCCACCTGTCACCACCACTCACCTACCACCACCCACAACCACCCACCTACCACCTACCACCATCACCCACATGTCATCACCACCCACCTACCACCACCACCCACTACCCACCACCCCTCTACGACCACCACATTTAAGTTAATAACAGAGATATTTATTTGTGAAAGTTACTCAAAAACACATTGCATATTAAATAGAACATATTTAATTGTCTTTGGTAGACTATACATAAAATTGCATATTACATATTGCATGAACAACATATTTAATTGTCTGCGTTACTAAGAAAACCATTATCTTCATTGCCCATGTGATGATCTTTGTGTTTTGTTTCATTTCATTGCCATTTAGCCCAATCGTTGTCCTCAGTATTAGTTATCCTACAAGAAGGTAAAAGAAGTCAGTAAATCACAGTTACATAGAGTGGGCAAAGTTATGTAGTAACAATGTCATAATGACTGAAATTAGTAAAATAATTACACATTTAAAACCAGTAGTTAGTACGATATTCACTTGCCTTGTTGACATCCCTTTTCTATCCATCGCTAGCATGATTTGGCCACATAGCAGTAGCAATTGCGTCCCTAACGTTCAATTGGTATGTTAACCCATGTTGTGACATGTCAACATACTCAGCTTGGTCTTCAGCAAGCCCGCCTGTTTCTGCTTCTGCGGCCATTTCATTATCAGTTTCCATAAAAAATGGGTCCATAGTTGCATGCAAACGGATTCAATTGTACACTACACAACATGCAATCACGAGAGGCCCTTGTCTTGTAGACTTGTAATTTGGCATGGACCGCAATATTGGGAAGCGCTTCTTCAGAACACCAAATGTTCTTTCTATGACATTGTGTAACGACGAATGTCGATGGTTAAACAATTCCTTAGGTCCTGCATAACGACGGCCACAAAACTCTTGCAAGTGATACCATTGAGACCGAAATGGGGCAAGAAATTCAGGCATCTTCGTGAAACCAACATCAACTAAATAGTACTTGCCTACATGTAAATAATGAATACACAGTTTTGTCAATTGATACGTACAAAAAAAAGACAAGAAAAAAAATGTACCGTATGTTATTTATGGACAGTCACCATTGGGTGGGTGTGGAAACTGTAGATCAGCTCATGTAATAGAGTCAATCAAAATAGCGTTGTCGTGAGCGCTACCTTCCCATCCAGAATTGATAAATGTGAACAACATATCGAAGTCGCAAGTTGCGAGTACATTTTGCGATACCGTTGCTTTCCGACCGCAGAATATATTTTGTCTGGGAGCAGGGACTGATGCATCCACCAATGTGCCATCGATAGCACCGACACAATCCTAATTGACAGATATTTGTTTGACATTAAAAGCGAAACAAACTTGGATATTAGTGTTATAATTAAAAAATAATAATATTTATTAACCCTTATTGATATGTACAATTTACAGGACAATCATATTGTTCGTACCTTGAACCAGGAAAAAAACCTTCTGTCATTTAAAATTTTTGCCGGTATGTCGTCTTGGTTACGTGGTTTGATAACCGATGATGCAAGCTTGCACAACGCCCGCATAACAATTTTTATGTGCCGACAAATTGTTTCCGTAGAGTGTTGAAATCTATCTGCCATTATTCGATGGTGATCATTTTGTGCAAAAGTATATAAAAAAATTCCAAGCGATTCCTCCACACTGATATGCATATGTTCAGTATCGATAAAGCCATTATGGAGTAAAGTGTCTTTCAATAAAATGAATGTTTGTGCATCCATTCGCATAACGTTCATCATTGTTTCTGGATGGCCATTTAATAGGCCGAAGATGTAATCATCACCTTTGAATGGACACGTTCGGTGCGGTCGGCGACTACTTGCCGCGTTGATATGGCCATGCATGAAAACAATCATCAAAAAATCTATAAAATCATCAATAACTTCATCATCATCTGATGAGATCTCCATTGTATTGTTTTCTCTGTCGGATGACATATGGTTTTGTCTACATCACAGTAAAAGCATAATTATAAAAATATGTTATTCATGCTGTAACAGTTAACATTATTGGTGAAACATAATTAAAAAATTAGTACATGAATAGTCGACCGTAGTCATTTATCAGCGTATAGTAAAATTCATAGGAGAAGAAAATTTATTTAATACGTGGTGATATTGTAATAACATAACATAATTTGAATATAACAGAAAATACTTAAAAGTTCAACAAAAAAAAAAAAAAAACATACGAAGATAGAAACGGAAAGAGGATATCATGGAATGAAAAAAAACATAATAAAAACCAAATCAGGAATAAACAAATCATCAAACAGTTCAGCCAAGGAGATTTGCTAACACAAGCAAAACAGAACTTCTCAGTTCACTGCAAAGCGAGGATCATGGCTAGGCGCAAATGGGTAGGAGTGCGCATAAAAAACCTTCGCCATTCCTTATCCTGGAATAGTGTCAGTGCCCTAACGTACTGCAACGGTGGTATGTCTCCAAGGTCTAACAATGCATCTTGACATGCATCAAGGGAATAATCATCACCACCTGCACTTACAGCCTCTGTCTCATTTTCTCGTGTACGTGAATGTCCTGTTTTTGCTTGTACATAGGATGTGAAAGTTGCGCACGCATCATCAAACCCACTTGACCGTGACTTTTTAGAACGACCACTATCAGTCTGGCTGGTTGTAGGGCCCCTCTTGTGACTTTTTCCCTTTGTTGGATCTATGTACTCATCCCTGAATAAGTCAACAGGAATGGCCTCAGCAGCATTACTCCCACCAGCATTACTCCCACCAACATTAGGGTTCCAAAATTTATTTAACACGCCATCTTCTTCTTCTGAGTCAAGGGCACCTTGTGTGGATGCACGAGACAACGCCCCTGTGGCACAACAATTTTCAACAATTTCTGTCATTTCTTGAAAATATTCAAATCATTTTGTCCTAAACTTCTTCACATTTCTGCTAGCCTACAACAAGTACAAAAAATGAATTAAGCACTGTATGTATCATGAAATGTTAAAATAATATTCCAAAGTAGTACAGATTAATGAAAAACTTTATCCCAAAATTCATCAGGTGCAACAACAGTGCCTATAATGGGATCCCATCCCAGACCAGTCTGTGCCTGAAGTCGCTTAAATGTCTGGTAATTAGCTTTCAATCGCTGATATTTTTGGCGCACCTGTTTTCCTGTATACTGAAATCCATACAAGTTGTGCAACTGATTTGCATAATGATTCCAATGCCTAATTGTCCACGAAGTAGTACGGCCCGTTATTTGATTGTTTCTAACCTCATCTCTCAACATATTTTTTAATTTCGTTTCAATTCTAGGCGTCCACATTTTTGTCTCTTGATTGTCATCAGAATTATTTTCATCCATCTATATACATACAAATTATATTTAAACTAGTCTCGGGTGGATATACAAGAATAACAGAGCATTTTAAACTAGTTTGGGGTGGATATACAAGAATAACAGAGCAAAATGGTTTGGAAGAGAACACAGATAAGGAAAAAAAAGCATATGCTTTTATTTGAAGGGAAAAAATACGTAACAGGTTAGTTAAATTTAAATAGCAGAAATATAAGCACAAATAATAAAAAAAAAAACAGGCAATGTTGTCTTTAAATAGTACAAAAAAATCAGTAAAAGAAGAAGTAAGGAAGAAATATTTTAAAAAAATCAGTAAAAGAAGAAGTAAGAAGAAATAAATGAGGAGACAGAGGACGGGTAGGTCGACCGGGCGGTCGACCGGCCGGATGACCCGGGGAACGACCGGCCGGGTGTCCCAGGTACCTTTCGTTCAGTTCTCTTGGTGCAAAGGTTCAAACAGTTCAGAATTTCAAATACAAACATATCTGAAATGAAAAATACTCGTCTACAAATTCTCAGAAATCATTTCGGAACTGATTTCCACTTCTCTTAAATCATTTGTACATAACAGATGAAGATTTATTTACCAGATTAAAGATTGAAACAGTTCAGAAAAATCACAAAACATCTGAAACTAAAAAAAATTGTCGGCTACCTTTCTCACAAACGATTTGAGAACTGATTTCCACTCGTCTAAAATAATTTGCACATAATAGATGAAGGAATTATTTACCAGATTAGTGGGAGTTGAATAGTTATCGCCGGTGATGGAATGTATATACTGACTGAATGTGCCACTCTTTGCTCGTCGAATTCGACAGTAGATTTGATAAATTTGACCTGAAAAAAAAAATGAAATTAGGGATGAATTTTTCAAATCATTTCTCTATAACAAAATATGTAAATAAATTTGTGAGTTATTTCACCTCGCACTCATCGTTTTTTGGTTGCCCGTAATAAGAATCTTCCGCAACGCACAAATCGTAAGTCAGTCGATTTGTGAAAGATGATACCAGTACAGAGCGGGTTGGGTGGATTCATTATTTATAAAATGAGTCTTCTCTGTGAAGCCCACCCATGATGAATCTGAAGTACTGATGAATTTGAAGTAGTGATGTTTGATACAGAGACGCCTACCTGTGATGTATCTGAAGTACTGATGTTTGATACAGAGATGAGGTTCACGTGAAAATTTCAGAGACGATGGAGAAAGACATAGAAGGACATGGAAGCTTTTCAGATCAAAAGAGGAAGAAGGAAGAAACATTGAAAGTAGAGGTACAAGCTGCCAAACAGGTTTTCAAACTGTAATTTAAATTAACACGCGGAATTACATTTTGAATGTTCTATCCAAACGTGAAGCGCAAGTTCACGTGTTGAAAGTTAATTTGAAAATACAAACAAACAGAGCCTAAAACTTATATAAAGATCTAATCTATATATACAGCTCATATATTTATATACATCTATATATATATATATAAGAAAGCAAACATGCAAGAGAGAAAATGAGAGAAAATACGGGAGAGACCCATCGTCATCATCCTCACTCATCAGCGCCGCTGCTGCCGCTCATGGAAGCCGCAACCACCATCAAGCATCATCACCATCACCACATTGAAGATGGAAGGGAAGAGAGAGAAAAAAAGAAAGAGACCACCAGATCTAAGAATGAAGAGAGACAGAAGGTCTCTTCGTTTTTTTTGAAGTTCTTAGGATTTATGAGAGACAATAAATAATTATGGAGAGTGTATATAGTTATGGAAAATGGAGACTTACAATAAACACAGAGAGAGAGAGAGAGAGAGAGAGAGAGAGAGAGAGAGGGGTAGGTAGCTGTTAATGGTTATGGAAAATCAACAAACCTAAAAGAGAGAGAGATTACATTGTTCTGGAAAATCAACACCTAGAATGAAATGAGAGAGAGAGAGAATATAATCGTGGGCAGTGAAACAAAAATAAGATCAGGGGTTATGATTGAGACCCCTTAAAACTCCAACTCCCACCACCACACACACATGTGGGGGTTGGGGATTGGGAGAGAAGAAGAAAAAAATTGACCAATCAAAATCTAAGAGAGTCATGGGGGTGACCTTCAAAGGGGATCCGAATCTTTATTGTAAGATCAAAATAATAAAAAAGTAAAGTATACCAATATTTATTCAGTCGGATCAGGTTAGTCGGATGTGCGCCACTTAAATCCATTTCCGACCGTGAAATCGTGGAATTAAACGATGGAGAACCGCAGCTGACCGTGTTAGACTTTGAAAGTCGGGTCAGCTCAAGTCGGACAGTTTGAACGGGTTTGCTTTTGTGTCTTATAATTTTTATTTTCGAAATAAGCGTAAACAGCTATATAATTTCCACACATATAACTTTTTTTTTTTGCTACTAGTTATCTATTTATTTGCTATACTGCATAAAATGATCAAAATTATATAGCGAGGAGTTGGGAATTGAACCAATACTTCTGTTTTGGTAAATAAGACTACATAATATATACACTTTTAATTTAAAAATTAAAATTTATATTTTACAAATTTAACATCACACCCATCAAAATTTGCAATTGGTGTTGATGTCATTTTTTTCCCCTCAAAAATGGCCCAAAATAAGACAATTGTTATAAAATATTTCAATTATCTTCAACTATTTAAATTACTGTAAATGATATGATTATTAGATTCAATTACAAATTGCACATGTACCCGCTTCAAAAATTATATATTTGGATTTTTCAAGAACTATTAAATTCTTTAAACCTTTTTGTTCATTATTAAATTTAAATATTAGCAAAACTTAAATACTAAAAATATTTTAAATTCTAAAAAAAATAGAATGTACAAATATATTTCAGTCTAATACTATGAACAAAACATCCAAACATATGAGGTGAGATTGGGCTGAATCGGTGGCATTTGGGCCCAAAGCCACTCCTACTCTTGTGTTACAATTTTGCGGGGGATTTTATTTGAATCTAAAAAATCATTGACTACATTTAATTTTTTAATACACTTTATCATTTTATATATGTATATTGTTTTTTAAATTACCTTACGGTAGACTCAAATAATAAACAAATAAAAAATATTAAATTACTCCATTTTGAGAGTACTCTCAAGATTAAGCAATTGATAAAGAGTATATCAATTGACCTTAACAGCGGTGCAATGGTTTAGTCTGTCTCATTCATGGCAGAGCCGGCCATAAAAGCTAAAACTAGAGCATACCTAGAGGCTTTGGAATGGTGCCAGTTAAGCAGTATAAGGTGTATGGTTTTGGTTTCCTATGTTCAGTGGGGTATGGCAGAGGATTAGCACTATCAAAAATGTTTTGCAGGACATATGTAATATTTGTAAGGTTGTGGACCATGTGTGTACTAGCAAGGTTGATAGGCGCACTGTTAATCTTGCGCACATTGCGGCTAAGGGAGCTTTCGCTACGTTTTATTAGGAGTTGTTTGAGGTGTCCTAAATAAATATATTTTTTGTTATTTTAGACTAAAAAATTAAGAAAAAAAATATGAATGTTTGGATTAATTTTTTGACTTATTATGGAAAAATGTGTATTGGAGATGTGTGTACGACAGCTGTACAATCGGCAAGCCGATTGAATGGTAAGAAATTATTGGCTACTTTTTGATCATTGCATTGGACGGTTTTGTTCGGTCCGTGGGGGCCATCACGGGTCTCATTTTGATAATCTGAACCGTTCAATATGTAGAACTCGTCGAGTACTATATGCTTATTAAAAATCACGTTGATCGAATATTAATAGCTATCTGATCAGATTTGTTTTTTTTCAATCATTAATTATAACACCATCTATTTTTTTTATACAAAATTGAATTGATCGTGTAGTTATTGATATCCGATCAATGTGATTTTTTATAGACATATAGTACTCGACGAGTTGTACACATTAACGGTTCAGATTATCAAAACGCGACCTGTGATGGCCCCCCATGGGCCAAACAGCTGTGTGTGAAAATTGCACTCAAACTGTACAATTTTTGGGACAAACGCTGCACAGCGCGAGCTTTGAAAAATTGCTAAGTTGTATGGATGTGTGGAAAAGTAATTTTTTAATATTTTTTTTTGTGAATAGTGATAATTTTTTAACTTTTTGAGTAACTTTTTGAAGAGATGCCAAACTTGGCCTTAGTTGAGTGATTTAAAAATGAAAAAGAAAAAAAAGTAAAATATAAATAAAATATATTTATATTTCACCTACTTTCATACATCTTTTTCCTATTTCTTTTCAAATCTCTTCCTAAATCTCTCAATCAAATATAGCATTAGGAACAGCTAATCATTGGTTATTGTGTTCAACATAATTATATAAGTATATATGCAGCTTTGCATTCATGAAAAATAAAATTAAAATAAAATAAAAAGTATCTCCAAATTGGAAACAATGATGTTGAGAATAATGGCAAATTTTGGAGAGATAAATTGAAATTTTGAAGTGAAAAAGAAAATGAAGATAAAATAATTGAAACTTAAAAAAGAAAATAAAGAAAGCTCAAGATAAATACCATGAAAAAAATTTAATATTTTATTTAAAATTTAATATGTATTATAAATTTATTATTATTATTATTATTATTATTAACAAATTTTATATTATAATATAATAAAAATTAAAATTTTAAAATTTTAATTCACGAAATTATTAGTTAATTACAAATAAAATCACCACAACATTGTCATTATAAATCGCAGGACATTCTGTTCCCGCAGCATCAACCAAAGCTACCAAACACGAGGCCCACCGTACTCTCTGTATTCTTCCCCCACCATATGATTATCCACGTGATCCTCGGGCCCCCACCATTCGCCATAGCATACACGTTACACAGGACATGGGTTGGGATTAATTTTGAGTTTTTTTTTTTTTAAACTATTTGAATCGTTTAATTTTTTAAAAATATTAAATAGAATATATTTATAAAAAATTAAATTGATCAAATAACAATAAATTTTTCATCAAATCACATTTATATT